TCATATTAAAACTTTTCAAACCAGAATTGAAAAAAATAATGTAAAATAACAATCAAAAAGCCCATTTTTTGTCACATGTACAAAAGAAGATACTCATTCAAGGTCTAGATTTAATCATTTATACCCCTTTTACCATTTTGAAGCATAAAAAACTAAAATTTCTTGTGATTATGTATTTTAGAAAGTCTTTTAAGGTGTAATGATATTTTCTTTTTTCAAAAGAAATTTTACTAATAAAAATTCTGAAACTTTTTAATCCAATTTTCTATTCTATTGCCACTTAAGGATATTAAACTAGAATGTATGTGCAATATGATGATATAAGTGAAAAATATGTTAGAAGTAGTTGAATTTTGCCAAAAAAATTCAGTTTGGTGGTCATTTTTTTGGAATTCACCCAAATGTATTATTTGCATCATTTACAATTAAAATAGGTCCAAAAATATATATCAATCCAGGCATCCAATTTTTGTTTGTATTATCTGTACTTAACGTAATTCGGTGCAGGAATTTGATTCATGTTTTCCTGTTAACCATTTTAAGCTTACATGAAATTATTACGAACTGATGTTGAAATTGTAATTTAAATTATACTGTCAACTAAATACTAGTATTAGGACTATATTATTACTTCTGAATATTATATATAACATGTTAGGTAATCATACACGTTTTATAGCTACGGGGGAGGGATCATACTGTTGTCTTTCGATGGTGGGTAGACCTGGAAAACTGTTGCTCTTGGTCTCCATCGGACAAAATCTTCCCAGGTCAAAACCACTAACTCGTGAGAACAATTTAACTAATTCCCTTGTAGTCGTGAAATGAGTGTTTTATGCAGATCCTATTTCATTATCATTTTCCCCTTATTTTCTTTGGTTAAGGAATGGCTAATAGCTCAACATAAGCTTCCAAGTTGAATTTTATTATCGGAATATAGAACTGAATATATACAAAAACTAATTTAATACTTGTTTATGTAGAATTGAGGCGTCTTTGAAAGTGGAACAGTATTTTAATATGTCAAAGACAAAATGGGTTCTTTTTAAAAGCCAAATCTTAATACCAGTATTTTATACGTTAGATCTGTTTATCTTTAAAGATTCTTTGTAAAAATTAAAAGTTCATCCTCTCATGAGCTACCAGCGATGAGCAGGCCGGTATTTTCTTTAAATTGGCTTGAAAGTTTAAGACATTAAAAATATTGAGATAGAGCGTCGTAATAATCATCAAATTGTTACAGACTTAAGATTTACAAAACAGCAATTGAAAACATTTTAATTGTTTAGTTTGCTAACATAGTCTTAATGCCATATTGGTATAAATAGAATTTAGTTTGAAGTTCTATACTGAAATGCATATAGAAACGTTTAACTGCTTATTTTTTTTAAGATGGGATCTGTTAAGAATGTCAAGTAATTTTTTACATATAAATTACTATTTCGGATATTTTTAATGTTTACACTAGGTGTAGTCAGAAATAAAGTTGTTTCAAAGGAGGTAATTTCATGTTTTCGCTTTTCCAAAAGTGTTGCTTTTATTTAATGATTAAATTCTTAAAAATTGCAAATCATTAAAAAGAGCAAACACAGACACTGGAAAGTGACACACCAGAGGTGGGATTAGGTGCCTAATGGAGTAAACTTTCCCTGTTGGCCAGTCACACAAGCGTGAGCCTTCCGTATTGATAAGGTAATTTTTAGTCAAAATTAGTACTATATGATAAACGGAATGACTCGATAGTATGTATGTAAAGGTAGCTTAACAACTGGTATGAAACATGTGAGTCAAATTTCGATTCAGCTATAGGTTGTATATGCAAACAAAATCGTTATAACAACCGTACAATTTGCAAAACGCTGACTTTAAACGAAACTGTTGAAAGCTCTGAAACTTTAACTTATTATTCATGAGCTTGCTTGGTTTAAAAATTGATAGTGCTGGGAACATGGTCTTGCGTACCGACTATTAAGAAGAAATTTTTATTGATATATCCTTTTTATTCCTTTGTATAACTATGATCCCCTGTTATGGCCCCTCCATACTCCTGAGGGTCATGATTTGAACAAATTTGAATCTATATTACCTGAGGATGCTTTTATTTTATTATGACCAATCATGGCTTTGCTATTCTTGAGAATAAGATTTTTAAAGTTTTTTCTTATATATTCCTATGAAAAACTTTGATCATCCATTGTGGCCTCGCCTTATCCCCGGAGGTATGATTTGAACAAATTTGATTCTACACCACTGAGGATGCTTCCATATAAATATATGGCTAATCATGGCTTTTCTGTTCTTGAGATGAAGATTTTAAAAGATTTTCTCTATGTATTCCTACATGTATGTAAAACTCTGATCGCCCTCTGTGGCCCCACCCTACCCCGGGGGTCATGATTTGAACAAACTTGAATCTACACTATCTGAGGATGCTTCCATATAAATATGACCAATTATGACTTTGCTGTTCTTAAGAAGAAGATTTTTAAAGATTTTCCCTATGTAGTCCTATGTAAAACTTTGATCGCCCACTGTGGCCCCACCTTACGCCCGGGGGTCATGATTTGAACACACTTGAATCCACACTACCTGTGGATGCTTGCATATAAATACGACCAATTATGACTTTGCTGTTCTTAAGAAGAAGATTTTTAATGAAGTTTCCTATGTATTTTATGGTAACACTTCGACTATGCGCTGTGGCCCCACCCTACCCCGGGGGTCATGATTAATTTGAACGAACTTGAATCTACACTACCTGAGATTGCTTGCATATTAATGACTAATCATGGCTTTGCTCTTCTTGAGAATAAGATTTTTAAGAATTTTTTTCCTATGTATTTATATGTAAAACTTTGATTGCACAATATGGCCCCACCCTACCCGTGGGGGTCATGATTTGAACAAACTTAAATCTACATTTCCTGAGGATGCTTCTACATAAGTTTAATTTTTTCTAGCAAAGTGGTTCTTGAGAAGAAGATTTTTAAATGATGCCGTTAATTTTTCACGAATTCGTAATTATCTCCCCTTGGAAGAAGGGGTGGTCCTTCATTTGAATAAACTTAAATCCCCTTTACCCAAGGATACTTTGTAGCAAGTTTGGTTGAAATTGGGCCAGTGGTTCTTGAGAAGAAAATGAAATTGTGAAAAGTTTACAACGATGACGACAACGACAGACAACGAACAAATTTCGATCAGAAAAGCTAGCTTGAGCCTTCGGCTCAGGTGAGCTAAAAAGGGAAAGTTGACAGTGGAAAAGCTAAAGTCATCCTGTTTGTCATAGTTTGCCTTTAACGGCTGTTATATTATTCAGTAAAGTTTACAATTATTAAGCACCTGTGGCACACTCTGTGATGTCTTTTATTTCGAGTTCAATGAGATATACCGAATCCACGTACTCATGGAAATGAATATTCTTGATTGATATAACGTCGTGGATTTTTAAATGCCGAATTGAAGAAAGATACTTTGTTTATTCATTCAGAAGTGTTTGAGTAATTTCTACTCCATAAGAATACAAAAACAGGTCGACTAATAAAGCAGCACAATGGAGGACCTGGTCTTCGAAGTATATATATTGTCAATGAGCAATTCCTGCATCTTTTTAATATTAACTTTAGGGTTCTTGGTGTATAATCATGATTTTTAATACAATATTTTTGTTGAGAAGCAATCTCAAGATATGAAAATTTCCCGAGTTCAATTTTTACTGAAGAAGAAGTTGTCTTTGATGTCAAAAAAGCCTCGTTTTATTTTTTTATTGAGGAATCTTTATAAATACAAGGTTGTGAAAAGTCTAAGGATTTCATGCTATTGATTTTCGAGAAAAAAAAATGAGATTTCAATTTTTGCAAAAGTTCTTTGGAAGGTTTTTAGTACCCACATTCGTTTAACATCACTTCTCGAATACCAGGTATATTTTACTGTATTGCTGAAGTTTCTCCTTCTCTGTTATTAATATTTTCCCGAGGAGTACAGAGAGAAGCTTTGTAGAAACACTAGATCATCCTAAGTTTCTTTGTTTTTAACATTTTTCGACGTTTTGGAAACCAATATAGATATGATAATTCAAATTCAATTTAATTGTCGGGATTACTGAAAATATTAAAAATTGACATACGATTTAAGGATAAGGAAACTATGAGCTAAGTTTGATTTAAAGTCAAGTTCCTGTTACATAGTTCCAATAACAGACTACGTTGATAACTGCTTTGACAGCTGGAACTTGTACGTACTGATCATATATGTAATCAGTCTACTTTTTGTCACTCATGAAATACTGACACGGAAGGATAAATACCATTCAATCATTTAATACATTTCAACATCCATCTTATAGTATAGTTGTAGGGAGAAGAACACGAACACGTAGGAGGATTTGTTAGATGGATATCTTAGACAGTTTAGAGTTTTTTTCGGATTAGAAAAACTGGAAGCAATAGTGGAAGAATATCTATAAGAAGTACAGGGTGTGGGCTTTATCTTGAAATACGAGAAAATTTTGTAAGACTGGACCTTTTTGTGATTAAGAATGTTACTAATATTTACGAAGTCAACTTAATTGTTGACAAATTTCAGTTCAAGGAACTGGCGAGTTATTTAAGAATTTTCTTTTCTGTGACGCATGGGGGTCTAAAAGGTCTGTGGTCAACATCCATTATCACAGATCCCCAGCCTGTATTCTGATGTTAAAGAATCCAAGTATGGACTTTCTTTGGCTTTTCAAATAGACCATTTCAGACTTTCAAGTTCGGTGCTAATATGATGTAAAACTAATTGTTTATTGACGTAAGGTGGAAGGGAATCAAAAAAGTTAGTCCAATGTCAGTGACTACCTTTTACGTCTCTGTGTTTTGTTAAAAGTTCCATTACTTTCATGTAGCTGCATTGTGGACTTGAAAGTGACATTTTGTTGCAACCAGTTGGACGATAAAAATCAACAGCCTCACGTTTCCTCTGGGGCATGGAGAGGATAAGTAACTAGTAACAGAAAGATCTCATGTTTGAATAAGTTTATTAGTCTATACCAAAAAAAAAAAAAAAAAAATCAAATCTTTTACAATGAGAAATATTTTTGACTAGTAAAGCATAGTTTAATGCACAGAATTTTTATTTAGCTTCAAAGTTTAAGGACAATGAATGTAGTACAGTGAAAATGGAAATTCCTATGAATGAGATGCCACGTTTTCGATTCTTTGATATAATGAGCTAAAAAAATCTACAAACCTGTATACTGCAATATTTCTCAATTTCACTTTCAATATTAAAAAAAAAGATACCATGAAAAGTTCTAACAATGAAAATATGTATATTTCCAATTACATGTATTCATCTTTTTTTTTTAACTTAATTTTTTTTTTTTAATTTGATAATGCATATATAAAACCCTATTCAGAAATACCTCGTGACAATTTCAAATAGTCTGCATCTAAATTTTCCTTATACATGTACCTCATAACAAATAAAGAAAAAAATTATATCATGTTTGGCTACATACAGAAATTCAGAACAAGATGCATGTCCCCTGAGATTTTAAGGAATACAGACTTTATTAATTTAATGGGAAGAAAAAAGTTTTACTCCTGAGTGTAATGCAGACTATGTTGGCAATCAAACTAAAAAAAAAAAAACTATAAACAACCCTCGACTTATTCTTCTCAAAAAGGAATGTATTATGAAAGATTTTTATGATAAAATATGAGTTTCAAACTAAACTGTCATATAAACTGAATCTCAAACATCTTGATACATAAAAACATCACTGATTACCAGTATCTACAGGAGCGGATCCAAAGTAAAACCATGGATGTTATGTTATCCAAGCCTTAATTCAGGTCTTTTTTCATCAAAATATTCCTTTACCATAATAAACTTTACACATTCAATATCCCGTCTCCATAAACTTTCAACCTTTGGATCCACACCTAAAAATTATATAAGTCCTTTATACCAATGTCTTCTGGTTAACATGCTAACATAGGACACAAACAGACATACACACACACTGATCATCACTGATCCATTCTCTTGCACTGTAATGTTGCCATTTTTATTTTATTGCTGGGCAACTTAACAATAATGATATTCCAAAAAATCTAAGTGTTAAAGATCTACTGAAAAACACATGACTATCATCAGTATTTCATTGTTTCTACAAATTCATGTATACAGTATTTAATTCATTTAACTCTTAAAATTTGTTCTCAGTTAATAAAACATGATTAACAATTATTTTCAGCAATTGCATTTACAATTTGGCACTAAACATTTGCTATCAAACATATGAACAAAGAAAAAAAATCCAGCAAGAATTACACATATTTTTATCCATTGTTTTAATACATTGTATTTAAATACCAGATTTAGTTCTTGAAATGAAAAGAAAGGGAGATAATAGCCCACATAAAAAAATGAACAAAAATTTGCCATTTGATTTTGACAAACTTTCGGCAATCATTAACAAAACCATTTCATCACAGAAAAAATATCTCAATATCACAATATAGAGTGCTTCAAATACCTTAGAATAATTCAAATAACATTCTAGGGGTGTCCAAGTTAACAAATCGAGCACACCTTAAACACACCTAAAACAATGGAAAGCTCTAAGTCATCAAGACTTGTATAATTTCACACAACAGAGGGCACTGAATGACTTAAAAACCATAGTGAGATGTTCAATCTTCATATAAAGGATATGGCTGCATTAATATCTGAAAATTAAGAAAAATATTAATTAACACATTATCATCTGAATCATGCATAATCCATATTAGAGAATGAAAAATGCAAGTGCTATAGGTATTAAGGCAATCTGAATGCAAAACAAATTAATGATACATGATCTTAAATAGTTTAAAAGAACAAGATATCTAACAAGCCAGGCTGTATTTGCTCCACAGTAATTTACTGAGCAAGTTTTTTCCCCCCATTATAGTGTATATGATGTGTGACTTCTTACCAGTATCATTTTAAGATGTAATATAATTCTTAAGGCCTAGCAAAATTATATTTGTTTATGGTTACCCGACCCTAAATTTTTGCGCCGACCCAAATGTTCACGGTTACCTGACCAACCCTAGATTTATGTGCTGACCCAAATGCTTTTTTAATGTACAATAAAGAAATTATGTGTCGGTATTAATTCCTTTGAATGTTATGTTTTATACATCACAAGTTCCTTACTACTTTGGGACAGCTGTAGGGTTGATGGAAAAATACTGCACCAAGAAAAAGTGAGCTTCATTAAGTGGTCAAAAAGTTTTTGCATTTGAACTTCATGTTATAAAAATAATTCTAAAAATTAAAATATAATCCTACCTACCAACCCTTTTTTTATTAGCTTGTAATAGTAAACAAAATATTTATGTCTTGAGCCTAACCAATAGTAAACTAGAACTGTCCAAAAGGGACAAATACCCCCCGCTGGGTTTTTCAGAGAAGGTACCAAATCACTAATGTTTTCTAGATGTGAGAGATGTTCACAATTTGCTTAAACATTTAGAGTGAAAATTTAATTACTCATTATATTTTTTTTTAATGAATGAAACTAAGGTGCAGCCTAATAAAACATCAATACTAGTAATTACAGTGTTTTTTATTACATTGAAAAAAATAGTTTGCAACTATCTGTCATCTTGGTGAGACATGACACTCTGCAAATTGATTGTTGAAAAAAAATATTATAATTAATTATACAAAATCAAATTGATCTTAATACCTTTACATCAAACTCATTTTAAAAATAAAAGGCTGGTTCCAGTAACTATGTATTTTGACAGACATAAATTACAATTAAGAGACTTAGACAACAGAGATCTTTATTTCTTTCTGCCCAATTCCCAGGAGATATAGATAAGACCTGCTTGATCAGAGATGCCCTAACAGCTTCCCACACTGAACTCATTAATTAATCTTTAACTGGATGCATGTCCACTCATTACTCCCAGGGGACAAATGGATAATTTACACTATCTGCTGTGTAATGTAAAAACTGTTTTTAATACTTTGTGATTTTTTTTTAGTTCTAATGAGTAGTTTTAAGCTGTAGTTCACATTTTTGTACAGATGTTCTAGATTCTATGTCTCAAACCTTAGACATGAACTCGAAATGACTAAGTCAATAAAAATGAAAAAAAAAAAACACCTGTAAAATGCAGAAAAATTATCAAATAATGTTGAAAATACCAGGTGCACATCTTCATATGGTAAATAATAAGTGTACAAATTTTCATACAAATCTATGCAATAGTCTCTGGGAACAGATTCCGACAAAACCACATAATAACAAGAGGCCCATGGGCCACATCGCTCACCTGAGTAACTTTGGCCATGCTGTTCTTTACCAAATTTCCCCCCTTGTAATACCTATTGTGACCCCGCCCTACCCCCGGGGGGGCATGATTTGAACAATGGATGCTTCCACTTAAGTTTCAGTTTTTCTGGCCCAGTGGTTCTTGAGAAGAAGATTTTAAAAGATTTTTCCTATATATTTCAATGTAAAACTTGGATTCCCTATTGTGGCCCCGCCCTACCCCCAGGGGTCATGATTTGAACAATTTAGAATCTACACTACCCCAGGATGCCTCCACATAAGTTTCAGTTTTTCTGGTCCAGTTGTTCTTGAGAAGAAGATTTTTAAAGATTTTTCTTATATATTTCAATGTAAAACTTGGATTCCCTATGTGGCCCCGCCCTACCCCCAGGGGTCATGATTTGAACAATTTAGAATCTACACTACCCGAGGATGCTTCCACTTAAGTTTCAGCTTTTCTGGCCCAGTGGTTCTTGAGAAGAAGATTTTAAAAGATTTTTCCTATATATTTCAATGTAAAACTTGGATTCCTTATTGTGGCCCCGCCCTACCCCCAGGGGTCATGATTTGAACAATTTAGAATCTACACTACCCCAGGATGCTTCAATATAAGTTTCAGCTTTTCTGGCCTAGTTGTTCTTGAGAAGAAGATTTTTTAAGATTTTTCCTATATATTTCAATGTAAAACTTGGATTCCCTATTGTGGCCCCGCCCTACCCCCAGGGGTCATGATTTGAACAATTTAGATTCTACACTACCCCAGGATGCTTCCATATAAGTTTCAGCTTTTCTGGCCCAGTGGTTCTTGAGAAGAAGATTTTTTAATGACCCCACCCTATTTTTGTCTTTTCTTGATTGTCTCCCCTTATAAGGGGACTTGGCCCTTTATTTTAACAATTTACACTCCCCTTCACCCAAGGATACTTTGTATCAAGTTTGGTTAAAATTGGCCCAGTGGTTCTTGAGAAGAAGTTGAAAATGTGAAAAGTTTACAGACGGACGGACGACGGACAACGGGTGATCAGAAAAGCTCACTTGAGCTTTCAGCTCAGGTGAGCTAAAAATGAAAAAAACACCTGTAAAATGCAAAAAATTATCCAATCATGATGAAAATACCAGGTGCACACCTTCATATGGCAAAGAATAAGTGTACAAATTTTCAGACAAATCCTTGCAACAGTTTTCAAGAAATGGTCCGGACAAAATCTCGTCTACAGACAGACGGACAGACAGACGGACAAGCTGATTCCAATATACCCCCCTAAACTTCATTTGCGGGGGGTATAATTACAGTGTATGACACCTGTGATTTTCTTACCTGTAATAATTTGGCTTGAATGGACCAGTCTTATTCAGACCTAAGTATTTTGCTTGTTCATCTGATAGTTCAGTTAAGTGGGCATCAAATGTGGGCAGATGTAAACTTGCTACATATTCATCTGTAAGACAAGAATATAAATAATGGACATTGACAACATAAGCATTTTAAGGAAAAAGGAACATCTTCGGTAATCAATTTTGTTTTGCTTGTTTTCAGCAAACTACGACTCCATAGGCAGATTCAGCAGGGTGGTGGTGGTGATGGTGGGGGTGGGTGGGTGTTCCATATCCCCCATAGATTAATTCTTGCATCTGTCTCTGCACTCTCTCCATTTCTTCCAAATAATGTTGTTACTCTGTTTTATTTCTCATGTAAATGTTTTAAATTATCTTAAATATTAAAAATTAAATTATTTAGTATTAGGTATTATTTAAAATACAGATCATCATGAACCTCAGGATGACCAGAATTTATAGATATTCCTAAAATTTATTGAGGATACACTTAAAGCACACACTTTCACCAATACAATTTAAAGAAATTACACATTTCATAAAACTATGTCACATCTCATCTGTAAACAGACTCACATAAACACTACTCACCCATTTTCTTGGGCAGAAGATAGACGTCTTGTTTGTAACGTCCCTGTGGAGCATTGTATAGTTCTATCAGGGCTAGGGCCTGAGTCGCAGACGTAATGGACACCACGAAAGAGGGAACACTAGAACAGCTCAGGTTGACAAGGCGACCCTAGAGTAGTAAAGGAAAGGTCAAAGTTCACTTGTTAACTCGCTAAGCCTTACAAGACTAGTTCAGTATCAGTATAGCATTTTAAAATAAGGTAGAAAAAAAATAATCAAAGTCTACTTAACCAACCATAAATCTTTACCATGTTTAATTTTTTTTTAACTGAGATGTCCATCTTTTGTGAGGATCCTTACCTCTGCTAGCAGAATGATCCTCTTTCCGTCGGGCCAGATGATGTGGTCTACCTGAGACCTCACCTTCTCCCAGGTAAGGTCAGGAGTCCGCAGAGAACCCTGTGTAGTACAAAGAGAGAAATACAGGACTGCTTCAAAGAAAAGTCTAAAAATCTCCAAATTATACAGCCCTCTTTAAAATCATACACAGAGTTATACTTGATAAAAGCACATGTTAGAGCAACGCGACACTCAAATATCATGGGCTGTTAACAAACATTAACAATGTCCAGATGGACATGTGTCCACTCTGACCAAACAGACAGACAGATGTACAACTCACCACATCAATTTCTGTATTGGAATGACCCATATTACACACTATACAACCAGTCTTCATTTTGTCCATATGGTTCCTAGTTACTACATTCTTATTTCCTGTTATAAAGATAACAATACATATATTGATATTACATTTTTGTAATCTGCAGCATTCTATGTGACAATATTTAAACATAAATCATTATTAATGAAGACAAAGTATTGGTTCCTACTATACCCTCTTTAAAAAAAGACAGCAAGCATAACCCCACCCCACCCCCCAAAAAAATAAAAACCCTTCCCCAAAATAAAAATGAAACAATCAAACAAAGCATACATGTACATAAAAAAAATCAGAATTCATTTGTACAGTATAGAATACATGGAAGTCAAGCTCAATGCAAGTTTTTAAGCTTATTAAAATAACTTCCCTTGTTTGAGTTCTTTTGTGCTGGAGATAAAATGTGGAACCCCTTACCTGTACAGGTGATCAGGATATCAATGTTCTTGACCACTTCCTCAAGTCTGGTCACTCGGAAACCATCCATACTGAAGTTCAGAAAAACTGAATTGTGAAATATAATCTTAACAATCAGGAAAACTAGGTCAGAACTTGTATATCATACAGAAATGTCCATTTCCAAATGTCAGATATAAAAATTCACAGAATTCATATCAAATGTACTCATATTACAAGTACTTATGAGGTTACAAATTTATTTTTATTAACAGAAAATGGGTACATAACTTAAGTCTTAGAACAAAGATAATTATTTTAAATGTTATCATTCAGATCAAACTCTGCAGTGTATTTACAGAGGTTCTAACACACAGTTGAACTACGGTATCTCAAACACTGATAACTTAAATACTATGGATATGTCAAAGTGATTTTAAAGTCCCACGTGCTTATTTCTTAAGTATTTAACCCTGGATATCTCAAATCCTTGGATATCTCAAAGTATTTTCTCAGTCCCATCAAGTTTTAGATAATGTGGTTTGACTGTAGTTCTTACCAAGCCTGTAGGGCACAAATCGGGTCAATCTCAGATACCATTACATTACAACCAAGTCCTTTGAGAGCTGATGCACAACCTTTTCCAACCTGATAAAAAGTATAAAGGACAATAATAAATATGTGATAGAATTTTAGAAGGGTTAAAAAAGTCTTTATAAAATTGAAAAGCTCTTAGTTACTTATCGTAACTTTTCACATTTTAATATGCGTTAAGGTTGTTTTACACACTAGGAAAATATATATTTCTTAATTTTTATTTTTAATAATCTTAAATGTATAATTTAGCAAAAAAACATAAAAAATTCCAAAATACAGTTAAATTAAATCCTCTAGAGAAACTGATCTCCTGATATGTAATTTTCTGAGCCAACATTTTAAACCCCTGCATACCCAAATAGATAGTATAAATGAACATTATAAATGATTTAAAATTAACCCTTAACCTTAACTCTGCATCCATTAGAGGGAAAAATGTGGCAATGTTATTCTTCCTTAAAAAGTAATTAGAGTTATTCCCCTTTGACTTACCTCTCCATAACCACAGATGATGATTTGTTTTCCTCCAAACATCACATCAGTTGTGCGTTTTAACCTGGAAAATAACAGCCATCAAATAAGCAGGAAAAAGCAAAGTCTTTATCAAAAAGGTTTTTTTAACTTACAGTGTATACACATTATTGGAAATATTTATTTTTAAATTGACCAGTACTTCTTTAAAAATATTTATGAATAATTTTTGTCATGCACAAATTTCTATGCTACATCACAACTCCAATCATGGATCAAAACAAAGAAAAAAAAAAAAACAAGTAACTTACGCATCCAGGATAGATTCCCTACAACTGTAAAGGTTATCAAACTTTGTCTGGAAGAACAAAAAAAAAGGTTTTATTCATTATAATAAATAGAAAGTTCATTATTAATACATCAAAATAAACCTCATAAAATTACTTTTAAGGTGTATATTTGAAATGAACAACTGTATCAGTTTTATCAACATCAGGATGAAACACTCAATGTATTAGGTTCGTCACATAAATATGCACATTAAAGTTGGAAGAGATAAACTGTACATGTTATTTTTGTTTATACAGAGTTATCTACCTTAGTGACTGAGTCGTTGACATTCATGGCAGGGACGGTGAGTTTTCCAGACTTTGAGAGCTGATAAAGACGATGTACACCCGTCACACTCTCCTCCACAATTCCCTTGATCATGTTAAACATGGCAGGGTAACGCTTCAACATCAGATGGGTGGCGTCACCCCCATCATCAAGGATCTACAACAGAGGCCAATATAGACATTTATTCATGTTTAAACATGGCCGGGTACTGCTTCAATATCAGGTGAGTGGTGTCACCCCCATCATCAAGGATCTACAACAAAGGCCAATATAGACATTTAATCATGTTTAAACATGGCCGGGTACTGTTTCAATATCAGGTGAGTGGTGTCACCCCAATCATCAAGGATCTACAACAGAGGCCAATATAGACATTTAATCATGTTAAACATGGCCGGGTACTGCTTCAATATCAGGTGAGTGGTGTCACCCCCATCATCAAGGATCTACAACAAAGGCCAATATAGACATTCAATCATGTTTAAACATGGCTGGGTATTGCTTCAATATCAGGTGGATGGCTTCACCCTCATCATCTAGGATCTACAGGCCAATAAAGACATTCTTCTCCAAAGGGATAATGAATTCATGGTATACTATTAAACTATAATCAGTTTTACCATGTTTGGTTGCCAGCCCTCGGAGTTGATACATTTGTCTATACACCACCAGAAATCCTCCTCTGTCTCGCCTTTCCAGGCATAGATTGGGAATCCCGCCTCTGCTAAGGCAGCTGCCACTTCATTCTGTAAACATAACAAAACATATAGAATTGATTCAATGGGATAAAAATAAGTCTCTTTCTGCACACTTTCATCTTATATAAGAAAGAATGTTAGATCTTTGGTGTTTTCTAAAGAAGGTAACTCCCTACCTCAGAATAAAAGAATTAATGAAAGACATCAAGGACTACATAATTACACAAAAAAATGATTTATTTTCCAACTTTTCATAAGATATACATTCAACTAATTTATATAATATAACCATCACCTCATATCTACAATTATCTGACTCTTTGTTATAAAACCTGCTCAACTACATTATGGATGAACTTTTCCTCTGATGCTTTAAAGGGTGCTGAGGCAATATTAACTATTGTGAATGTCTGCTAGTGCAGTTTATGCATTATTACAGAGTCATTAACAAGCTAGCCATTATCAGCTGCACACTACAGAAATTTCCATGGAAACATAACAGTTGCCAATGACAAATTGTCATTCTTATCAGCTGTACAACATCAAATATTCTACATTGTTCTCCATCAAAACTGGTGTCCCCTAGGAGAACTAGTCTAGATTGAAACATAACTAACTGGCGGATACAGAATAATACATCAGTTTCTGAATTTAAATGAAATTACCCAGTAGATTTGAATAAAAACTGTAGAAAACGTATAATGTGCATCAACAACTGAAAGCAAATTAATTCAGATCATTTTAGACCACATTTTTTTTTTTTTAATTTTTTCTTTTGTGTGTGTGTGTGTGTGTACAATACACCTATGGCTGTATGTTACAAGTACATAAAAGACTGAGCATCAGAAAAACTATTTTCTTTGATCATGTCAATACAGGAAAATCAATGCATCAGACTGTCTATTACCAACTGGTAATACTACAGATTTTGTTTTATTTCATATTTATTAATATTTTTTTTATTATTTTATATCCATTAGTCTTTCCTCTTTAATTAACTTCAAAGAGATATACTGAAACACACCATTAATACTGTGAAGATCTCACATTTGGCTTGTCTTTTTTTTATTGCCTTTGGTGGAAAGCAGCTTATGCTTAATCAAGTACATGTATATCACTACATGTCTTGTGTATAAATATACATGTACATACATCTTGCATGTTCAGAAATGCACTAAATCAAATCAACTCAACTTTTGACTAGTCCATTTACACCAAATATTATAAAGGTATATACAATACATATACAGTGGTTAGTGAATTTCAGACTTACAATCTATTAGATCACTGTTGGCCTCTGGCAACAGAACACACTGAGCTCTTCCCATCACCCTGGGAAATACAGTCAACCTTCATTATCTCAAACTCTGGGGGACCAAGAAAAAAATTCGAGATATCTGAGTATTTGAGATATCCAGGGTAAAATACTTAAAAATAAGTGGTCGGGACTTCTAAATTAGTCGATATATCCATGGTATTCGAGATATCAGTGTTCGAGATACCAAAATTCAACTGTATATTCTGTTTATTGCCTGATCAGATGTTTATTAACTATACTATACAATGGTTACACATTTTATTCTTTATCCTATATGCAAAACATTGTGCCCCACCCCTTTCTCTGAAATAGTGAACCAATCACTTTTCACATTTTTATCATCTGAGCCCAATTATAAAACAGATTATTTAACCCAGAGTTATTTTTAGTTAGTGTTATGCTGATAAAGAAATTATCAATAAGTTCTAGTGGTTTGAGATGTACGGATTATGGAGATCCCCTTGCATAGCTGAATGTGGTTGGACCACTTGACTAGAAATGCAGGGTCCCAGGTTCAATTCCTGGTTCAGCCATAAATTTTCATCTTTTCAATTTAAGGACAAATGTAAGAGTAGTGGTTTGAGCTAGATCGACTGAGTATATTGGCCTGAGTAGCTCAATGGTTAGAGTGCCTGACTATTAATGCGATGGTTCCAGGTTTGATTCCCAGTCCAGCTATAAATTCTCTTTTCCTTTTACAAAGTAAACTGTCTATGGAGGTTATAAGCCTTGATGCAACTCAGTCCTGGTAATTAAGAAAACAACTATTTTTCACTGTAGTGTATTGTTAATCTATATGTTTTGTGATTTATTTCACAATGATTAATCCCCCCCCCCCAAGGATAGTCTATTGAGAATTTAAAGTGAGCTCTTATGAAAGCGTTCATAAGTTCTCACCACTTCCAATTGAGAAGACAGAAAAAAATCAATTCCCAGGAAATTACCCGATTCTGACAGAGCTTGATTTAACAGATGACAAACTGCTCTTCCATGTAATGATGAATTAAAGTTTACTGTCATCCTGAAGTTCTAAAGAAACTAACAACTTTTTTAGCCCCTGACATTTATTTAATAAAAAATGCACAAAAAACTTTTCAAATACTAATAATTTCATTTCCTTATACAATTTAGATGTTGCTTGATATTTCAATATACATGCATGCTTCCAAGCTTTAAGAGTTTTGAGGCAATAAAAATCTGATATTGCCCTAGATTCTGATATCACCCTGTGACTTACATGCACCATGTTATCCCTTGCACAATATAGAACCATTCATGAAATCCAAACAGCTTCGAATACACAAAAAAAAAAAAACAATGGTGCCCAGAAGGGCCAATACAAGCACAATATTGCCCTATGATGTTGAAAAATTTACTGTTCATAAATACAGATTAAATACAGCCGAAAATGCTTCAATGTACATGACAAATATTAGATTTCATCATAAGGAGGTATTTAATATAAGTGTTATCCTGATAAAACAAATCTCATTGTACACTGATTTGCTTGTTATGGCAATATGAGTAAAAAGTGTGCCCTTTGATGACTTCCCTGTGTAGAGTAGATATTGCCCTGTGAAGACTTGTGTAGTGTACATATTGCCCTATGATGACTTACCTGCATACAGTAGAAATTGCTATGTAATAACTTACCTGTGTAGAATACTAGAATAGATACTGCATCTGTGTAGAGCAGATACTGCCCTGTGATTACTTGCTTGTGTAGATTAGATATTGCCCTGTAATGACTTACCTGCATAGAGTAGATATTGCCTCTGTGATTACTTGCTTATATAGATTATATATTTCCCTGTGATAATTTAACTGTGTAGAGTAGATATTGCCCTGTGATTACATACTTGTGTAGAGCAGATATTGCCCTGTAATGACTTACCTGCATAGAGTAGATATTGCCCTGTGATTAGTAACCTGTGTAGAGTACATATTGCCCTATAATGACTTACCTGCAGAGGAATTATTGCCCTGAGATAACTTACCTGTGTAGAGTAGATATTGCCCTGTGATAACTTACCTGTGTAGAGTAGATATTGCCCTGTGATTACATACCTGTGTAGAGTAGATATTGCCCTGTGATAATTTAACTGTGTAGAGTAGATATTGCCCTGTGATTACATACCTGTGTAGAGTAGATATTGCCCTGTGATTACTTACCTGTGTAGAGTAGATATTGCAGGCTGCCCACCTCACTGAGGCACCAAGAGCTGCTAAAGTCTCCACAAGCACCTGTTTAAAGTGATTAACAATTCATTATAACAATGTTGCAAAATATGGAATTTGATTAGTTTGACTGGTCAAACTATACACATCCACACACCTTCATAAAGGAAAATTAGATATGACCATTAGCTGGTACATCCATGCCATGTTTGACACACTCTGTCTCAGAACTATACAAGGTCCTGAATATAATGCCATATGACAGACTGTAGTCTATCAAAACTTCCTCCTAACTGTGTTTAAAGTGATTTTTATGGTAAGTATACTAAGCACAAAGTTTTTTTATGTCATTTTTTGAGTTATTACATAAAAAAAAATACAAAAGTGAAGTCACAATATGTGCATTTTTTTCCTGATCTTTTCAATGATATCAAAATCATTAAATTTTGTTAAACGGTTAATATTTCATCAAACTATTCTTAAACTTTCCAAATGGCCCTCATACATGAACCTTTTTTACAAAGAAAGAAACTAAGACTTTTGCCCCTGTGACTCCAAAAACATTCCAAAAAAGCTTTACATTAGAATAACCACTGGCATTAAAATGAACATTCCATCCTTAAACATTCTGACTCAAGTTATTGCAGAGAAACCAAAATTCTATTTTCAACTATAATGGAAGCCATGCCTTTTGACTCCCAAGATAAAAAGCATCCCTATCACTGATTACATCAAACCAATCCAAATTAATCGTTCCATAGCAACAATGGTCAAGATATAGACAAGCTGTTAATTAGACAGACTATCAGACAGGGAGCAAAAACATAATTGTAAGATCACTCCAATTTTTTCTCAAGCTATTGTATGGGTATCAAAAAATCTTTATTCAGTATTAGAAGCCATGCTCTTTGATGAATCCATGATAAGAGGAATTTTATTATTACAAGAATAACGAAAGCTAAAATGATCTAAAACAGATAGCAACTTGCAAAGACTTTATTTTCTTTTTGGATTTGGTCTCCATATGATATGTTACGAGACAATGAGGGCGTGGGGAGGGTGCGTTGGGTGAGGATTCAGTAACAAATTTTATCTTGAAAAATATAAAATTATAATCCTTTTGGGTAAGTAGTATTTCCTGGATGAATAAACCCTTATACTTGTATTCTCCTCTATTATATCTCAGAATAATGCTCTAATCTTCTCAACATCATGATCAAAGAATAAAAGGACAAATCTTCACTTCCTAAGGAACAGCATATAAAATTGTTAATCCCTTAATCATGCTGCAGAAAGATCAATTACCATTGGGTTCATAAAAAATCAAATCAAAGGCATCAAGCTTTCTCAAATCAATATAGTTGTCTCCATCTTTGGTTTTCATTTCAGAGTATGTAAACCAAAGCTACTGTAAACCAACTATTATTTGCATCATCTTTTATTCACAATTAGTCCCCTTAAAATCAATCCACGACGATTAATTTTTGTGACTGAGGAAACACTCTACAAATACAAAGCAAAATAAATGGTTCGCGGCCATTGATATTCGCGAATTAAAGTAGGTCACAAAACAAGTGGATATATCTCGCACGCGAATAAAAGTTGGTTTACAGTATTTAGTAAGATTCAAGGATTGATTACTGTATGTTGTACATGTACTAATTTTATCAATTTCCAGTTTACCTCAAAGGTCTCTCTCACTCTCTGTAACTGTCTCTTAACTTTTAACTTTTTTCAATTTGATTTTTGTCCCACATGAGAATAAATATTCACAAAGATTTTCTCAAGAAGAATAAGTCTATACTTGTTTAATTTAAAATTTGTCCTTCAGTTTTGTGTGAGCCTAGATAGATGGTTTTCATTTTATTCAGTAAGAGCTATCACACTTGGGTGAGCACTGGGTGGCAGGGAAAAGCATATACACACTTTTTAGTATACATATATATACAGTAAAACGTTTATTTCCAGGATGAAGAATTTTGGTTCATTGTAAAAGTAATTCATTAAAAATCCATAAATTTCACTTTAAATTTTAAACCACATAGAATGAAAATCACTTCACTGTAACCAGTAATTCATTATAGATGTGTTTGTTATAAATGTATTTTACTGTACAAAAACTTCAATTTCCCTTTTTCCATATTATACTGGCTTGTATACTGTATACCAACCATAATAATTACTGGTGTAGACAACTTTTATTCACAATTTGACAGTTTGAATCCTATCTGTGGCAAATAACTCACAACTGAGAAAATATTCTACATCAATACACAATGAAACATTTGGTTTGTGGCGCAAAATATTCGCAAATAAAAACAAGGTCACAAAACTTACAGATATTTCTTGCACACAGTTATAAGTTCCTTCAGAGTATTTCAAATTATTTTGTCATATGAGAGCTGAGTCTTCATATGCTTTAATAAATGTTCACTAAAAAAATTCCGCCATGTTTAAAGCTGTGAGTGAAAAGCATCTGTAATTAAAACTACTATTATACTAACAGCTGTTATAATCTAAATGTTGTATAATACATACTGCAGTTTGTGCTGTGATGTGGGTACAACCAATAATTTTGGCCCCGCTGAGTGGTTTGTCATTCTCCGCTCTTTTTCTAAGGGCTATCAGTCCGGGCATCTCTGTTAAACAACAGGACTGTCAATGAGTAATACAGTTACAACATTCTACAAAACTAATTTTCTTTGCAAGAATTGACTCTAATTCATTCTATGCCTTTTTGGCAATTGATATTTTAGCTACCTTTCGGCACAAGTAAACCAAGTAAACAGACAAATTGAAATGATTTTTATGGACTTTTTAATATGGCATGTACATAAGTATACTAGTTTTCTTTAACATACTTATTCTTAAGTCATAGAATAGTATAAATATATCTGAATTCTTAAATTAATATGTATTTTTTTTCCCTGTAACTGTGTGGTTCTAAAATATTGAGTGATACATGTAATTAAAGAAATTCAACTTATTTGATGCTACAGAAGGTTTGCTGTTACATAATTACAGTTGCAGGAGAATGAATTCTTAAACTTAAGTGATATGGCTTTCCAATGTTTACACTTAAAAACCAAATTGTTTTAAAATGTTGTTTGGAGGAGCCACTTAACTTACACCAGAATTAAAGTCAATATGTCCTCTAAGTTGTGTTTGTTCAGAAAAGACAATCATTTGGATCCATTTAATTACTGCTGAAATTGTTTGCCAAAAGCTAAAGATTCAAAACTTTTGCAAATAACTTCCACTACTGTTCAAACATTAGATTAAAGACCCAGAATTCATTAACATATTCTTTAATGTTGATATAAATGCACCACTCCATAGTATGTATAAGTAATGATTTGGTGTATTGCAAACATCTTCTTAACAAAAGAAAATGCTGATATCCTGCTCAACCTAACTATTTATTTAGCAGACATTTTTTTTTCTTTTTTTGAAAATAAAAAAAAATCTAATTTTCTCCAACACTCAGAATAAATTTCTATACCGCCATGTGATATATGGTGATCTAAAAAATCAATGAAAGGAGAACTAAAAGAATGGACAGTTTCTTGCTGCTTGGGAAAGCTCCATGAAAAACAAACACTATGTGCTTGGAATGAAAACTTCAGCTACGCTGAAAGATTTTCAGGGTCTACAGAATTCTCATACATCCACTGTGCATTGATTCTGAAACTGACACGATACCTTGCTCAGCAATTTCAATTTCCCTTCTTCCAAATGCGGCATTGTCAATATTCTTCACACAGAAATCTGAGCTGCCTTTGGTGTTTTTCTACAAAAGTCAACATGACTCTGTTATTATATATCTAAATTGAAAATATCATTCTTTTTCTGTACTTGGGACTCTTTATTCCAAACAGAAAAATCTCTTAAGGCGATATTGAATAAAAGAAGATATATAGCCAAGAAAGTGAACATTTTCTTTTTTCTGTACTGAAGTTTCTCAATTCACAACAGAAAATCTCAAAAGGCCTCATAAAATTTAATGTCAAGAGAAAAAAGAAGATAGTCAGGAAAGTGAGTTATTGCCCCTTTCAACTTAACGAAATATACAGGTGTGTATACTTCAATATACTTCAAAGAAACTTTAATATGGGGGGGGGGGGGGGGGGTGTAATTATGTTACTTTACATAAGACAGATTTGATATAACTTTGCTTGACAACATACCTGATTCTTATCTCTGGGGTTAATTTCATCCTCATCTGAAGAACTCCCAGTGTATGAAGCTAAAAATGGGAAAAAGATGCATATCAAATTAAACATACATATTAAACCCATACATCATACAATTTTTACCTGCTGTATTGACAAAATAGTTTTTCTTAATTCTGACTGGTCTTAATTGGTTAAATAATAAAAAAATGTGAATAAAGTAATGCCACAAGAAAATCTTAAACAGCAGAATGCAGCAAGTTTCAAATAACAGAAATGCTTTTAAAGGTACCCATAGTAAAAGGAGATTAAAAACATCTGAAATTGACACAACTAAATGTTTAGTCAATGAAGTGTTATGCTCAATTTATTAAAAAATATATGTTCAAGGGAAACAACTCTAACAAAAGAGCTTCATCAGGTGCCTTACAATAAATATATAGAGCGTTTATTAAATACTTCCAAGCTATACTTTGACAACCTTTCATGAGGACTAATTATACTAGTACATAATCAATACACATTTTATGAGTGTCCAGCACATCCATTGTTGACCATAATTAAAAATCCAATAGTTGTCAGTAGATCAATTGACCCGATTTCTCCTTTCAAATTCCAAAGATTACCATTGCTTCCTCCTGGTTTGTGTAGACTGAACAATTTCAGAGGATGATCCGTATCAAACTCCACGAATCGTACAGTCCGAGTTTTCTGAACGGGAACATCCAAATAATCCATGACATCTGTACACACAAAGTATCCCTCTAATGTTTCTTCACAAGCAAAACAAGCACGGCATTTATCACCTTGTTTATGTCTGAACACAAGATCTAGACAATGCAGATGTCAGGTAAATTGTCAACATGGTATTGTCACATTTCTGAGCAGGTGTGAAATGTAGAAATCATGAAATTGATGGCAGAATCCATGACAACTGATTACAGACAGTTCATAATTATTGCTGGATGGAATTCCACAACTGACATTTTACTTCATTGCTACCCTTAGAGATAAGAGGTAGAAATAGATTGGTCACTAAGTCTTCGGACACCCCAATATGATAGCAGATATTGAAACAAAGACAAACTGATAGAGAGTTCCACATAGGTAATGCCTCACAAAGCTGGGTATATATATACTTGTCAGAGCAGATTATGTAGGTCACTGTTGGTCCTAATCAAACACTGGTCTGGTAGATGAGTATTTATGGGAAAGACACCAAAGGTTTTGTCATAAAAATGTCAGGGAATTCAGTTCTATGTCAGTAGGTCTCTGTAAGAGTTGTCTCCCCTGCAAACATTACTTTTTATCTCCGTTTTTTGATTCGTTTGCACCTTCTTCCAGTCAATTTGATTAGACGAGCTTCAATCATCATTTTTTATTAGTATAATTATTAATGTGACTATTTCAACATGTATGCATGTAAAGCTGCAGGCACAATAGAATTAAATTATTGCAAAGTCATCCCTAAAATCTTGACACTGCAAAAAATCCAAATTTTGTACACCCAAGATCTTATCAAAGACATATAGGTGGTCACAATACTCAAACAATGATGATTATTTTCTGGTGTCAGGTCTAATGACTGTGATAACTAGATACAGAAGTTATAAAAACATGTAAATTGGAATGAAATGTAATGCTCTGGTCTATCTGTTTTATACCTGGCTCTCAAGAATTTGATCTAGATTATACCTTGCTATTGATTCAGTCATTAACAACCCATGTTGACACATGTATGATGTTTAAAAATCCATAAAGGGCAAACTAATGTGATTATAATCATAACAAATATCCAGCATACCAAAGTTACTCCAGTACAGTACTCAAGCTTAGAGACTTAGGAAATACAGGACTTTGCAAATTAAATTGGAATTTTAATAAATATCAAATTATCATGTCATTGACATTATAGTGAAACCTATCTAATTTGACATGCTAAAGGAGACAATTTTTGTGTTGGAATAGACAGGATGTCAGATTGTACAGTAAAAAAAACCTGGATAATAGTAAAATGGGATTAAAAATAAAAGTCAGAATTCACAGTGAAACGGGTTGCACAGGTGTGGGATTAGACAGTTTGTACTGTATTAATATAAGGGTTTCCCATAATAAATCCACCCCATAAAGAATTTATCTACTTTTCCACAATCTTAATAATAAACTGCATTTTTTATAATAAATAATAATAATAACCTTTATTTATCCAGAATTACACAATTAGCATACAACTAGTTTTCATTGTGGTCCTGTTGAAGATGTACCATTTTCTTCTACATAATCAAACAATAAGAATGAGTAATAAAATGTTTTCTTTTCTTAAGTCTACCTGTTAGCTAAAGGTCAGAGATAAATCAAGGGGGGGGGGGACTTTATAGGTACAGGAACTCAAATTGAACACATATGACTTTAAAAAATGTGCACAGTTAATAATTGTACAGATCATTTGACAGTTGAGACAATGGACAAGAATAAAACAATAAAAATTACCGGGGATGCATTCTAAAATTTCAAAGCAACAATTTTGACCTTTTATTTAAATTTGTTCATAAAATAAGCTGTTTTCCTATCTGATAATCACAAATCAAACATACATGTTCTAAAACACCCTGACGATAGGCTTATCAGGAGATATACACGAGACCAAAAATGAATAATCTATTCTGGGTCCCAACTCTGTCTCGTCCAACTGTAAAAGGGCTGTAAATTTTTTGTCAAGGACTCACAATGTCAGGTTTTTACCTTTTATTTAAGGTAAGCACTGAATTATGCCTATTGCGCTGTCTCTTGCAGATTCTGGGCTCTACAATTCTAAAGTTTAAATGCCTGTCTTCAAAGCCATGTTTCAAAAACTTCAGTGACTTTATCTCCCTGCATATAATTCATACTTTAAATTTATACATTTTGAAAAAAAATATGTGCACCTGATTCTATTGAACAGTTTTATATATTTCGAACAAGTGATTTAAAAAACCTCATTTATAAATCAGCTGACAAAGTAAACATGATGACATTTACAATATTTACATACCCCCAGTTCTATAGTATATATTTTAAAAGGGTGGTGGTATCAGATGAAAAAGTTTTCAAATTCTAGTTTGTAATATTCCCTGACAGATTCAATGATTTTGCTTATTGTTAACGATAGTCATTACATTTTCTTGCTCAACTTGACAATTGGTGCTTCTGTTGCATATCTGGAAATCTTTCATTACCAGCATGTTATCCCTGAAGTTTGATATTTTATTTAAACCCCCTCCAACTCTTGAGTATAACAGACTTACACAGTCATAAGTCTTCTTCTCTGTAGGTTAATTTAGGAAAAATTAAAATTAACAAGAATACTCATGATACGGTAAATCTTGTTCAATCTCAAGACTGCTTGACTGCGCATTCCAGGTATTAAAATATTTTCAAGTTGGTCCTAAAATATGTAATTCTATATCATACTCCAATTCTGTATGTTGTATCTAATCTGCCAAACTTAACTGTGCCATTAATGGCCATTTGAGACAAGTTTTACTGTATGATATCCGGAGATCTAGTTTTGAGTCATAATCTTCACAGAATCAAATTTAATTTCCCCATTGCTCCAAGAGAGAGAGAGAGAGAGAGAGAGAGAGAGAGAGAGAGGAAATAAGAATCCTTTGATGATCGATCCATACACTGAGATTCTGATACAAAATGAAGTTCAGTGATTTTAATTATTGCTTTTTGAAACCAAGAAATGACACTGCTAAAATGATGTTGATTATAAGCTGCCATGATACAGCTCGTTGAATCTCATTTCACTATAATCAGGAATGGCTTACATACTGCTGTCACTGCTTCTTTTGATTTGTTAATTAAAACAAAAGATCCCCATGTACAAGTGTTCTGTTATTGGGAAGTCGTAGATTTCCGTCATTATTAATTTGTTGTCACTATTATTCAGAATTATTAAAGAGATCAGGTACAGTTATTCTCCTCCTGTGATGTCACTTTGTTATTGCTAGTCTGATTACTGTTTTGTCCCTTTGTGGAAGTGGTCAGATTGGGGGGGGGGGGGGGGGTATGGAGGGTTTAGAAATACTAGTCACTTACTGAAGAAGTGTTTTTTAAAGCTTGGTATTAATATATGCTATGTATGCAGTCACAAGTTATCTGCAGAAATTTGTCCCAGTGTACGAGTACTTAAAGTAAATGTAAGGCAATCTAAGAAATCTGTTCTACCCGCAGATTAAACAGAAATTGTAATTCAGTAGAAATATGACTCTGTGGTAAAAAGTACATTTACAGTAATTTAATTAGTTGACGGTTTGACCATTAGGGCAAGTGCAGATACTTATTCAGTTTTAATTTAGATAGGGCTCTTCAAACATGACATTTGGTACATCTAGACTCTGACGTCACATGACGTCGTATATGTGACGTCATAGGTAAGTTGCATTACCATTCTACAAAGTCTGAGCAGTGCTTATTTTAAAAAAAAGAATGTTTAATCTACTATTTATTTGCTATACATCCATTCAATCAAGGTGAGTTAATTTTTTTCTTGGAACTTCTAGGTACTGCGAGAACATAGTTTGTGGTGAGATGCAATTCGCAAAGTATTATGGGACCATAAGTTACTGCGGAAAAAAATCCATTTGGCTCAATGTGCAAAGTCCAAATTTTCTCTTCGCCCACATTGCTTTAAGAGCTTTCAGTGACAAGCAGTGCTTCATGATACTTGCTCCCCTCACTATAAAATCTATACACTTTTTACTATTTCAAGTAATGTACACATATAATGATTTTGGCACAATAAAAGTTTGTTTCACTTTTCTTTATATGACAGTTTATGTAAACATGCAGGACCTCAGTTACTTTACTTTTACATCAAATATATAATAGCCAAAATAATTAATGCTTAAAAATATGAAATTACCTCTAATAAGAGGATATTTAAAAAGTAAACAGGTCGGCTAAAACATTCGACTGATGTAGAGCTGCATTATCAGTCATGAAAACATGATTTTCAAAAGTAGTACAGTCAAACCTCGTTATCTCAAACTCGATGGGAAAGATAAAACTTCAAGACATCCGAGTGTTCGAGATATTGAGGGTAAAATACTTAAGAAATATGTGGTTCGGACTTCTCAATCACTTAGACATATCCATGGTATTCGAGATATCCGTGTTTGAGATACCGAAGTTCAACTGTACTTCTAAATAAAGCCATGCTATGTAATCATTCACTTGTATCTCAAAACAATGCTGTATGATGTTAAATCAACATATAGTAAAACCCTCTGAATTTTTCAACTACATCATACACCGAGTTTTTGATTACTTCATAAATATATTTTTAATCAAAATTTTATTTGCCTTGGAGGTGTATCGTAAAGCAATTACTATAAATGTCATGACATTTTGTATATGCCCTGTTGAACAGCCTTGAGGGCTGAATAAATTTTGGTTATATCTTTAATTTGAATTTACACAGGCAGTCATGTGGCATATGTAGCATCCAAGATTATCTATAAATTATCCATCCACACAATTAAGAAATGACGAACAAACAAAACGATGCTTTAGGGTACACAGTATTACGGAATGCCTATGAGCTTGATTTCAGATAAAAGATAAAATATACTTAATACAACAGTATCTAATAGATCTACCTAATACTAATAGAAGACAGAGACTAGATGGCCTACGAAATTGACCCTGATAATGGCACTTACATACAGAGTCAGCAGTCTCACTGGTCGAGCTAGCGTTACTGGATCTTCGTTCCTGGAGTTGGATGCTGATCCGTCTATCCAGCTGGATGCTATGTCGCTTCCGAGCAGACCGGGCTCGGAATGCCTCCTCCACCCCCATGGATTTCAGTTTCTCAGGGAGACTATCATTTAAACTGACCTCTGAGAGGTTCTTCCCAATCATTTTCTTAGACATTGCACAGATTTGCCTTTCCCTTCTTAGAAAAACTTAGAATGAATGCCTCAATTATCACCTTTGCTGTTTAATATTTGCCCACTAATGATAAATGTATCTATCAGTACATATAGATTCTGTACTTAAGTAAACAGTGTCCAACACACTGGATCACTAAGTATTTTTATCTAGAATTTTCCTCATTTGATGTCGGATATCCAAGTCCCAACCTGAAGGATGCAGGTCCTATACCTTCTCAACAATCAACTGTCCTGTGCCTTGATTTCGACAAGGTGTAACCCTCCTATTTCATTTTGCCCTTTGACCTTTGAATATTGACATTACTTGAGCACAAGGCAGTATTTCAATCACAAAACATATTGAAATTATCAGTCTATGCATGTACTTCCTTGGGAGAATACTAACAGCCTAACAGAACATTTCAAAGGAGGAATTTTAAACAATTCTCTTCCTTATACACTCAGAAATGCTGCACAAATGAAGCACAAGAATAGTACAAACAATGCAGCATAAATGATTCTGATTCACCAAACACTTGCCCTCTTCATTGGAAAACTAGGACAGTTAGTATAATCCCTCTCCAAACTGTGGAGGGACTGTTACATGAGCTAGCTAACACACTAAGGAAGGTGCATAATAACAAATAATTCACAACACATCTATATCTGATTCAGCAATCCCTGGAATTTTCTGTGTTTACATCACATTACAGAGATACTCGTGTAAACAAGAAATGTTTAACTTCAGAGTGTCATAAGTATATTCACAGTCTCCGGATGTTTATAGATCCTCCTAAACAAAACTACCACAAAAAATGTGTCCAGTTAGCATGCTATTTCACAGTAGCAGGATAACTCTGCTTCCCCAGAGCATCTCCTGTCTGATGTATTAAAAAACCTCCCAAGGACATTAGGGGTTACACTTTATTATTTATTTCCAATACACACAATCACTGGCAATTACTTTAAATAACTCAGGCAAAATATAATGGAATAATCCAGTCACGGTTAATAATTGCCGTCTATTTGGAATTAATCGGGAGGATCTGAACCAAGGTGAGTGATGTGTACCAGTCATGACAATAGAACTAATGATATCTGAGGATTACAGTGTTAAAACACAGGAAGAAGAGCTCCACAGAGGAAGGAGAAAAAAATCCCCGTCAATAGTATCAGGTAAGAGAGGGTAATACATGTAGATTATGATTAGTATTAGGTTAAGGGGATTTGTAGACAGAGAAAAGTAAAACAGGGATTAAATTGTTGCAGTCAGCTTTGATGTAATGCAGAGAATTTTAAATAATCTTGAATATGCTTACACTGACAGTTTAACTATCAGTTGATCTAAAATAACACCAACAGATTCCAACAAATTTGTTATCGCACAGGGAAATGTTTTCTGGAGATTTTAAAAATCAATCTAAAACTGACTTCCTTGTGAATTTATTGTATATTCATATATTATTTTTCTATATTATCATTGCAGCTAGGAGAGAAGGCATCCCTGTAATGTTATGTAATCAATGTCCTATCGTGTTTATCGTAGATGCAGGAGTACAATATCATGAGCCGAGACAAGAGAGAACTGTCTCTGGAATATACTGGCTACGCAAAGACAAACAAAAGGTAAGAATTTTTTACATAAAATACTTACTGTCTACAAGAATTCAAAATTTATCATGCTATTTTTCAAATCTTAATAATACACAGTTATCTGCTTATTTATAGCAAATTTAAGTAATTTATTTTTCAAAAAAATTATGAAGAAAAATTGAGACTTCAGATAACTTTCAAATTAATATATCGTATGTGAGCGTAAATTACATTCTATACTTCCTATTCTGTGAGCTTTTAAATTACTGCTAATAAACTACCAACAGCTGCATCAAATACAAACTGCTTTTAATGAAGGTCGTTTATGTCTTCCCGATTTTCAATTTTCTACAAATGAACATGAGCATTTTCATGTTACCATATTATTTCTTTTCATCCTGCCTTTTAAGCGAAGTAAATTAGAGACTTCTCTAGGAGCAGGAATTTGATGTTTCTTGGTATTGACAGATAATTCAGTAAATAACTCGCCACTGTTGGTGAGGATGTATAAATCAGGTATAGTTACTATAGATTTATTGAAGGGCCGAGACTCTTCGATAATGAACATCGCTGAATCGCCTTACACTACATAATGACCGGTCATTTGGAAGCCCAGGATGTGTGAAAGGCTCGTACTCAAAACATGCCAGGCTTAATACAGATGTTTAGTCAATATTAGGCTCATTTAATTATCAGACAGATTTGGCTCCAGTACATGTATCGATCAAAACTTACACATTTCACACAAAGATCAAATGCAGTCTATCCAAGTAAATGTTATATGAGCACTTGATATTTTCTGAATGGAACATTGATTAAGTATAAAATAACAAACCCTACATAAAAATTGTTACTGACCAGTTTATCTTAGCTTTTTAACCAAGTTTGATTTCAGATTTCAATTTACAAATTAAAATTATAAGACAAATGCCTGCCAGTATTCCTGTCTCCCCCTTCCACACATTAACAACAAAAAATTCTTTCATCTTAATACTAAAACTGTTTTCCCACATTGAGATAGAACATGTTTATTAGCTTTGAAAACCACACTCAAAATCATGCATGATTCTTAAGGAAATGAAATTCTACATGCATTAAATGGGCCTCTTTCCCAGTCAGGAAATACTTGAATTATATATTTATAAAATTGTAGAAGGCGTCCAAGTCTGTAAACCCTTGAAATTTATTTACATTTTTTTTTAATTATAAAACCTCTCTTTTTTCTGCCTTTAAGGCAGATATAATTTATCTTTGCAAAAAAAATCTCCAATCACTTTTATCATATCTTTTATAACTAGGACAAAGGTGCTTCAGACAAGTCTTTTGAGTGTCCTAAGAAAGATAACTCTGACACTCAAAAAATCAGTCAAGAAAGACTACTCATCCACACCTCAACCAACGACGTTAAGGGGAAAAAACACCATTGAAATTTAATAATTAATCAATGTGAGAGATGTCACAGTTAATTCTAAACATTTGACACATTGGTAAAATCACTTTTCTGGCAAATTTCTTATAACAATTAAACCATAATGGTAACTTAACAATCAAAGCTTATTTCAATTCACCTTGCTAAATAAAGGTCAATGTTAACGGAAATGTAAGCAAGCATGTTTAACGCTTGACTGAACACATCATGACAATTGTCGACACCTATGCCTTCCTGCCCAAGGGTATTTCTTCTGATAAAGTCATTTTTTAAGTCGAAAATTCCAACTGAAAATTCAAATATATTCAAAAACTGAACACAGTATTAGGCTTCATTTACATCTGAGTGGACTGTATGAAAGTCAAGTGTTCATCCCCTTAAGAAAAACATTTTTTCTTCCCTTGTCCAAATCACATCTTTGACTACTGTTGCAAAAACGTATCTGTCAAAAAATTAGCATTACTGAACCTACACTTAAAGAAAGTTATTCCATTAATCAAATATGACAAGTTATTTTTAGAAAGCATATCTAATTTTGTGTGGAACTTCATGACCCTAAAATCTTTGTGAGTACTTCACATGGAAAAGATGTACCTATGAGTACTGACACACTGTATAAGGGAGGAGTACATACAATCAACTATTAAAGTAAAAATTCATTTATCAACAAAATCACCATTATTTTGAAACATCCCTTAAACTTTTGAGAGGCAAAACTTACAAAATGTTTGAGCACGTGGCCGTTTTTCGCTACGATTTTCTAAAGCGTCTTTTTCATCCTGCTCTGCCTGTTCCTTCAAATTGCTTGCAGCATCAACAGAACTTTCCTCCATGTCTCTGACTTCAGTTACAGGTTCCAAGTCGGTCATCGGTCGCATTTCAATCTGGGCCTCTACTTCAAATAGGTCAGTGACCACTCTCAGACAGTAAGATGCCAAGGAGGTGACACTGAGAATGGTGGTGGTGGGATGAGGTAACTCAGAATTTGGGGAGGTCCACTCAAAAATTTTAACTTAAGCAATGCTGATGATGTACTGATCAATTCAGCTTTATGGCTAGTCCACAAAAATTTCTCAAAGCAAAAAGATAATGTTCCTAAAGAAGTTAAAAAAAAAAATCTATCTTAGATCCTCTTCTGTAGACAGTGCTTCAGCTTCAGTCAATCTACCTCACAGCATAGAGAAGAAAAATGAAAGACACCTTGAAATTGTCATCAAAGGTTATAAGCCACGAGTTACCGTAAATATCCCTAAAAATAACTTTCAATTTCTGTCACAAGAATTCACTGCTGGATGAGGTGCTCTGGCCCTTTAATAACCAGTTTACACTCTCCTTCCCCCGACAAAACCTCAGATAAAGTCAGAACAAGTCGTCCCACACCGGTCGGCTTCTTGTTCGTCTTCTCTATGTCCTCTATGACAAGATCCCAGGGGGTGATAAATTAAAAATTCATATTAATTAGAAGGAAATGTTGACGTCAGCATAGCACTGGATTCACCTGTTACTATGTGACAGCCGTAAAAATTGACAAACCTCTGCACTTAGTTGTAAAAGAGAGATCCACAGCTTTTTCTTTCAAGGATTTTATTCCATATCAAAAATGATTATTTAAATTTGTCATTCACAGGGAGAGATTAATTAAACAGGACCAGAAAACATTCAGAACAACAGAAAAGAGAGTTAGGAAGCATCAGTAAGTTATCTTTTTTTCTTTTAATTAGTCCACGCTCATCCTTATGCTACACTCATTTTTCAATATTTTCCATGATTGACTCCTTAAAAAAATCTCTGAAAAGTAATTTTTGTTTACTTTGCTCTCTTGATCATTCAATTGTTATTTTAACCTTGCAACTTTTTCCAAGCTATAGGGCATTGAAGCTATTAAGTTGATCAAGAAGTCATTTAATCATTTTACCACTTCAAGGCATGTGACATTTTAACCATCATATTATTCATGCTTTTCTTAATTCAGTAAAAACAAGATGGCACACTTTGCTCCAACTGTTATCTCCCCTTACCATTGTACAATACCCATCATGCTCTGAATGATTTCATCAACTCCTGATTTTATGAGAAAACTTCTGTTCTGTCAAAAGGACTTGATTTGATACTGCTTTATTAGGTGCAGGAAGACTAGGCTACATTTAAGAAATCTTCACCTAACACTCATCCCTCACATTAACTGATTTGATAATTAGAAAGAAGTCACAAATTGAACTGATATGCAACCTTTTTTTTTTTTGCAAATGTTCCTTTCAGAGTCTGTACATGTATACAGTCACACAAAATCTTTACTGTGGAGTCATCATAATATTATTCTTGGAAGACTAATGTTTGTGGATTTCATTGGTTACCCATGATTTTACGATCCCACCACTAATAACTTTGTCAATGTATTGGTTCATTGAATCTTCTGTATACACCAGCTTCCCACCAAATTATTAAAATGAATATTGACCCCCATGTTTTCATAGATTACTCTGATTGATTGATTGTATATTGTTTTACTTTCCATTCAAGAATTTTTTGCTCAATGAAGAGGTCACCATATATATATATATATATATATATATATATATATATATACACGAAGGCCTTCAAATCTATACCTTTATTCCGTACTCAGGACCTATAAGCTGTGAGGGATCTTTATCGTGCCAACAATTAAAGGTCTCATCCAGAATACCTGCAACGTTCACTTCAAAGTGCCAAGCGTTTGGCGAAGAAACAGCTGCAACCTATTTTTTATCAATTTTGGTCTGTCTCGGCCAGGGATTAAACCTACGACCTTCCGATCACAGAGCAAATGCTCTACAGACTGAGCTACCATGATGGTTGGATTGCTCTGTATTATGCCTCAAAACTGGGCACAGAAATGCCAGCGAAAGGTGGAGAGCAATAGAAATCACAGAATTATAATCAGAAAGGGGCACCTTTTAATTACGTTTTAAGGATAAGCAATGTTATTGAATCTAATGAACCAGTATCCTTTTTTAGAATAAGTGTAAAAATCTTTCATATATAGATTAAATATCATAAATATCATAATTAAGAGATTAGTTTTGTCTTTGCATAGTTTTCCATCTCTGAGGTTTAGGAAGCGGTGCTCAGACATTCTCTTTCTTGAGTATATGATCATGAGATACATGTGCAATTACAAATTGAATTCTCTATGATTAAGGAAAAGAACACACTTGAAACAAGGAACAAGAAAGAATGGAATTAAGACGGAATTGGCGTAGGGGATGTTTCTTGACTGGGATGGTGTGAGGAGGGGTTATTTAGCTGTCTGTGTACGATTGTGATATAAAGTGTGTATGAAGTTAATATGGTGGACTTAGAAGGGGAAGGGGGGGGGGGGGGGACTTGTAAGCTATAGATGTCTGTGGATGACTTTGATATAGAGCAGGTGTGAAGTTTATTAGGTGGGTCTCGTTTTTGGGAGGATGGGGGGTTAAGGGGTTTGTAGATTGTAGACTTACATGAGCTGTAGCTGTCTGTGGACGACTGTGATATAGAGCATGTGCAAAGTTTATTAGGTGGGTCTAGTTTTTTTTTTTTTTTTTTTTTTGGGGGGGGGGGGGGGGGGGGGAGGGTGTTAAGACTTACGTGAGCTGTAGCTGTCTGTGGACGACTGTGATATAGAGCGTGTGTGAAGTTTATTCCGGCCTGGGTTGAGGTTGAACTTTATCTCCTACAATTCAAAATAAGAGAAGCTACAAAATCAATGACATGTAGGACTTCCTCTTTACTATATTGCTTACAATAGATCACATGTAAAATGTAAAGATCTGATCTGCATCTATGATAGGGTAATTTGTTAATTTATCTATAAGCAGAGTGCATTTTGTAAATGTTAACCAAGCAGCTGAGCACGCATGCATGAACAGGAATAAATATATAGTATCAAAAATATATATAAAAGAAACAACAAATCATGATAGTACGTAAAAATTCAAACAAGCATATGAACTATAAATTCTCCATTCATTATAGAATTCAGGCAATATCTAATAAATACTGACAAAGAATTTACGATGTTTAAAAATAATCTTAAATATCAATTCTGTTGCTTATTTGAACTTTATGTCATAAATCTGCCATTAATAAAAACACATTTGTGTGACAGATACACATGCCAGCATACAACTTTCTTCACTTGCTGATTTTATGGCCACAGCAAGAATTGCTTAGACAGCTTAATAAAGTGACACACACCAAATTTGTCCTTTCTAACACTCCAGACACTGATCAAATAAAAGTATCAGGGCCATCATCAGGTAAATTCTGGTTACATGAAAAGGGAAGGGGGTTGGGGGGTTGATCTGGGAGGGGTACCCTTTCCCTAAGCCTTTTTTAACTTTTTTATAAATGGACCCATTCTCGTGGGTTCTTTTCAAATATTATATCAGCCAGGGCTCTCACACCACTTTTTGAGAATGGGGCCGGGGCCATAAAGATTAGGAAAATGAGGACTTTTTGGGTAATTTGGGGATAAGCATTATACTTTAAAATCATAATATATTGGGTTTCTGGTCTCTGTTATCAACTAATTTTTTTTTTGTTTTGCAATACAGAGGAATATGAATAGCAATTCAAGTTTATATTATATACATGTAACTATATTTTCTTTCAATTTTGGAAGAATTGACTATTGGGAAAATTAACACATTCAACATTCTGATTCCACCAAACACTCCCCCTTCCAACAGCCTTGAGTATATCACCTTATTTAGATACCCCATTCCTCACCCAAGTTTCTGCATATAAGGACCAAGCTTGCTTGAAAATGGACATGTAACCTGCAGAACACAAGGCCAACACAATTAAGAAAGCTTGGTATCTATCCCATTTATAACATATACATGTAAAACATTCAAGGCTTAAACTGTATGAATTTTATATATGAATCTCAATTCTTTTTGCCCTGCAGTCTGTAGATGGTATAAGTAATTTGATTATTATTTTTTTAATTACAGTCAAGAGGAACACATAGGACTTGACAAAATTTTGTCAGACCAAAAACCTGGTATAAGAAAGTTAAACAATTGAAAATGCAGAACCAAGAAATCCTATGGTCCATGCGATTTTAATCACACTCATTTATATACTTGGATTTACGCAATATTTTTTTAAAACAAATATTTTTATGACTCCATGTTAAGATAGTAAAACTCAAAACGGGACACTGAGACATTGGACATTCCGTTTCGGTGTAAAACTGACGCAATGGACCTGAGTCACTATATGATGGTCAGATCTGATCTCTTTTAAACAGTTACTACTTCCTATAAATGATACTCTACAAATTGCTTAAAAAAATATTACAATCATAATATGCTTAGCACCTTTGTGTGCTCCTATTTTGATAAATATCTTACTGAAAAGAAACCTCTTTTGTAGGTAAACTCCATAACTATCTAGCTTAGTACTGTAAACTGACCAATACAAAATCCCCCTTTATAGGTAAGACTATTTTTACTATTATCTACTAAAAAACTGACCGAGACATCCTTTTCTTCTATAGCTGCTGATGGTCGACGAGCTCGACTCAGCAAGGGTAGATGTGTCGTCATGAAGCTAAGGTCAAATCTCAGGTAAACAGGAAACAATGTACACAAAATCCTAGTCCCCCAGTGGACAAGTTTTTAGCGGAGTCTGTTGAGTGTCCCTACACTATGGCTGTCATTTGTAACTGACATATGGGTTTCACTTACTGGGCTTCTACTGATAATTAATATTTCTACACTCTGTCAAACGTAGCCTTATAACATTGCCAGCATGTCACTAACACACTTACACATTCAACTCCAACCCTCCTCTGATAAATGTACCGCATACAAAAGAAGAAAAAAAATTCTCCTGCGCTGATAAATGTTGTATAGGCAACGAACCTCTAAGTATAGTTCCAAAGATAAAACTCGCCTTCAGGGGGCTTACTGCACGGTCCTAATGGGACACATTAATTTGGACAATTAATTTTTCCTGACAATTATATGATGTTGTTCAATGGTGCAGGATTTCTTACGGCTTACATATTTTTATATCAGAAACAGGTAATATGGACTGCTTTTTTAATTTTCATATTACTTCATTCTAATCCCTATACATTTTACTTCCATTTTCTCTTAAGGTCCTAACTGCAGTTAGCAAGTTAACAAAATGGATTATCTTATGTAACCAAATATTGTTTCTACTCTTGAAAATGGTGAAGTTGAGTCAATCTGAATATTTTAATACTGCTTCTTTATTGAAGAAAAAAATCTCTCCTGTATTCTTAAATGAAAGTATTATTTACATGTATTTAATACAATATTCACAGATCATGGGGGCTGGAAAACAAAGTGGACAACTAAGATGGTGCTTCTGACAACTTAGTACTACATGTAGTATAATCAGGCTCAGTAGAACCTGGGCATCAAAGTCATTTATAGGTAAGTCAATCAAAGTCATTTATAGGTAAGTCATTTATTCATTTATAGGTAAGTCAATTCAAACAAATGATCATAGGCAAAATTCTGAGGCAATCATGTGATTTATTTTGTTATATTCTGCAAGTAGTCTCTAAATTTCAGCATTTCATTATCTACATTAAGGTAATTTAATTTTAAAACAAATGGATTATCTAACACAGCTAAATATTTGATCTTGATAAAGTGGAATTTGAGTCAGTCAAAATATTTTGAAGACTGTTTCTGTTAGAAAAAAAAATGCTCTTCTTTTTCCTGATGAAGTGTTCATTATTTACAGAAAACTTTGTGGTCATCAGACATTGCAGCTGGTAATGATCATTATCAGATTCTGAATCAAAAGAATCTAGAAATCTTCAAAGACATCAAAGTGATTAGGTAAGTAAATCTGAACATTATATATACTCAAACAAATGATTCCTGAAAAACACCCACTAAATTCTGCTCCCTTTTAATTTTTCTAAATATCTTAATATTGTAATTTTATCATTGGATTAAAATTTTCTATGTCTATAAAGATAAATCGAATTTTTTGTTTTTTAAAACTAATGATTTTTTTTCTTTTTTGGTTTGATATGTTTGCAAAACTGGATATTTGATACTGTTTATGCATTATATACATGACATAATTTGTAAAATACATTTTGGGGATAATATTGTCAGTGTGCACATGGCAGAGATATAATGTCCTACATACAGGTTACACGTTATTATATCTCACAAGTTTTTGTTGCTGGAAGAAAACATTCTTTTAGGTTGGATTACTTTCTTAATTATTTATGTCTAAGCGTGTTTCATTGTCAGTGTTGCATAATTTTAAAGTACATTAATAACTTACAGAGATTGCATGTATTTGATGATTCAGAAATAAATGTGTAACATATGCAATTGTAACTAACAGAAAAAAAAATCATCAGTTGACTATTCATAAACATTAGTATGGTATTCCAAATTTCCTTTCAGTAAGGGACAAGCAAGAGACAAAAATGACCAATTCAGGGATAGTAAATGGACTTCAAAAGGAGTGGGATATGAGGTGACTATCTGCGCCAGGCCATTAATAGGACCAGGTGACATGTGAAATTTATAGCAGTTCTCACTGTCCAGTAAGGTTGTGATCCCAAACATCAATTTGACAGTTCTGTAAATTGTATGTCATTCTGACCAAACTGTGTCAACATATTAACTTTATCATCCATGTACTGACCAGAATGGCTTATGTGTACTGATTATAATCTATTCTCTCTCTCTCTCTCTCTCTCAAACAAACAAAAGACTACAAGTAGTATTTTACAAAGATTTTTTTTTTTTTATATAACTTAATAATTCAATTATACTTGATTCAAATATCAAATTCTTAATCATAATTTCACTTTGTAAGTGCTGTGAAAAAAAAAAAAATTAAGTTGGATCTAGAAGTTTGTTTTTTACAGCATACTGTCTGAACACACATTACAAGCATGGCAGATGAAGAATGCAAGACAAGAGAGGTAACTCTGTAACATAAGCAATAAGAAAAGAAATATGCATGATATGCCTAAGGTTGGACAAATCAGACAATGAAAAATTACAATAAACAATATTTTATGAAAAAATTCTCATATCTTTTATGAAAATATTCAATTTGAAAGTTCAGTTACTGGAAGGTCAAACATGAAAACTTATTTTAAAGTGTGGCTATGACTGACAAATAAAAGCTGAATGGTAATCAGGATATTTAATGTAATATCTATCCTGTGTATGAAAGGTACATTGCTCTGAATACCAAATTAAAAAAAAAAAAATCAAGCTAAACGCATTCTCTATCCTAATAATAATTCCTCCCATGTTCTCTTTTTTTCTCCTTCCAAATTAGCTATCAGATAATAGACATTTATAACATTAGACACCTCATGTTTATGAATAAACATTCAATATTCATCCCATTCCTAGGCCCTATTTGGAAAACTTTGTCATGTTTTTCAACAGTTTCAGTTTCCTCTTAATTACCTCTTATAATTTCTTGTGTACACTGTACACCTAATAGTATTGAAAATGTCTCACTTTCACTATTGATATTGATACATGTAAATAAGTGCAGACTGAAAGAACACCAGGTTATGAATTGCAATTTTCTTTTAAATTAACAGGCATTGAAGATGTCTATAAACAAAAGATAACTTAAGTCAGCATTAAAAAGCAAAATATAATAGTGAAAAAAAAAATCAAAGCAAAATAGAATATGAAATATGAAAAGATAGTTGTTATAAAGGCCTAGGGGGAAAAAATGCTTGGTTACGTACTACTACATGCTAATAAAAAATAAGGTTGGTATGTAGGGTTTTAGTTTTAATATAAATTTTTTTCTTACATAAAGTTTAAAGTTTGACTACTTCATTTTTTCTTGCTGAATCCCCCCCCCCCCCCCCCCCCTCTATCCAACAGCTTTCACAAAATGGTAAGGAACTCACAACATATAAAATGTAGTGTTTAAAGAAAAATGTATGCAATGAATTTCAGTACTGTATATATGTCAAAAGAAGCATTGCTGTTGGTGCAAAAATTTACTCTCTATTGAGTAACCATAAACATTCTTTTTCCTTAGGCCTAATATATGCTGTTGCCAAAGCTGCATAATCAAAACTATATATATACATAAAGTTCAAAAATAAAGGCAAACATTGAGTATTTTGTTTAAAAGTAACAAAAATAATTTCTCAAAATAATCCTTTTTTAAAACCTTAACAAATAAAATTATGATAAACATGAATTTTATTATACTTCTTAGTTGATTTTTTTTTCCAAACATAATTATATTGAAATACTATGATTTACAGAAAATTATTTGTTGTTTGTTTCATTTTGATCTAGCTTTTATGCCAATAGTGATGATAAAAGGTCAAAATAAATATGGGTTAACAACCTAAAAGCAACTATGTGTTCTGCTTATTTTACATCGATAACAAACAATCAGCACGTACAACATTTCAACACCCATCAGTCAAATACTAGTATTACTCTTCAGCAGGGCTGAAATCTTTATTAGAACTTTTAGCAGTATATTTTTAGAAAAAAAATTCTGAGAAAATCTGGACTTAGGGCTTGTTGAATTTTATACACTGACTGTTAAAACTATGTCTTGTGATTTCCTTCTCAAATACCATTTCACAGATAGTTAAATGACATCCAAAGAAATAAGAAAATGTAAAGAAAAAGGGCAAAGTTTAAACTTTGCCATTTTTCTTTACATTTCTTATTTCTTTGCTTTTTTTAAATTCTATAAATTTTATGGTTTACATGTACTGCAGACAAATGTCCCAGATTCCTATGAATATAATTTATGTGCAAAACCAAATACAAGTATCATATAAACTTACTTTTCTGGGTTTTGTAAATGCTACAGTTCGTATTTCCTGTAGAATTCAGAAATACAAAATAATTTTTTTTTTGTTAAATGGTAAAAGTTACAAGTCTGAAAATTGATTACAATGTTGATATTTAAAATTACTATTCCTCTATTGTATAAAATAAGATATATGATGCAAATTATTATTATTATTTTTTTTTTGTTGTTTTTTTTTTTTTGTTTTAGATAACATGCATCTGGTCTTGAATCCAAGACTTCAACATCAAAATTTTCTTTTCAATTTATTCTAGATTAGATATTATTTCCAACTATTAAATTCAATGTATATTAGAAATTAAAAAGCTGAAAGAAAAATATAAGTTGAAAATTCTTTTCAATATTTTACACTGATAGATCTACTTGAATATTGTGAATTTAAGAATTTAGAGAGATAAAGAAGTTGAAGCTATTTTTTATCGGATTTGACGACGATGAGAATTTTGTAAACAGAAGACAGTTGAGGTTATTGTTCATATGATCCGCCGATGATTCTTTACAATGTCAAGGCAATGTCACTATCATCTGTTTCAACGATGATCGAAAACCAAAAAGAGAGGATTGTCCAAAAAGAACTTGGACATCAACCAGTGTATATAAATGTTACTCTCCTTATATGCAAGGAATCGGTGACATTGTAAATCTACCAATTATACCATCCAATATACACTTACAATAACAAAGCAACATAGCCTTTCCTTTAAAAAAACATAAACAAACACGAAATCGAATATGCGTGAAAGGTATGGCCATTGTCTACTGGTATTTACAGGAGATTTGAGCACCACGGTGTCAGTAGGGGATTGGGCAACACTTACCCGGGTAGATCTCTCGGTTTCTGAGAGCTTCTTGTCGAACTTGAGACCTGGGTTGGGCTTCTGAGCCAGCAGACCCACATGGTCTCCGTTCTCCACGTCTGCCTCCGACATTTTGCTTTCCCTTTATTAACATGTGATACAAACTTCCGGTTTGGTTAGCTTTACGCGCGAAATACAAAAGTGACGAGTAAATCCGATCGACTTTCAATCTACGGGATTTTGAAAATAGCGTAACTTGGTTGTTGATTTCATTACGCTTTTTTTTCATAGACTGTTAGAAGAGAGAAAAAAAAATATACTTTCGGAGTCAGAGTTAGTAAATCAGAGACATTTAGTCATTTAATTACTGAGGCCCAAAGCCCATGATGGTCACCCGAGTATGATGTTTCTAAGGCTATGACCACATACTAGCCCTACCAGTGGCGATTATTCCATATATACAGGAAATATAGAATAAAACAACATAAACTGATAGACGAAGTGTGTTGCCCCAAAAGCAAGAGAATTACTTATAGGACAAAATAATTACTCTTCTACTCCGTAACAACTCTTATAAAGAAGATCTATATACTTACCTGTACTTGCCCCACAGACTAAACAAACCAACAGTGCTTGAGAATTATAAACCCATCTCATTCTCTCTCATACGTACATTAGCTTCTCTTGGTCTGTTATAAGCTAGAACATTTAGCAGTTTAGTGTACAAAGATAAGGTATTTTTGTTTTATTTTTATTTATTTATTATTTACTTCTACCTG